ATGAACCATCTTTTTCCGTTTCTAGTTTCGGTCCTATAATTATACAATAGTGCAAGAGTTATTACCAAGACAAAATGAAAATCCGAATTTTGTACGATCTATCCTTTTTACGGACTAAGCGACTTTCACTCGAACATAAGTGTTTAATAGTCATAATGACCATCTGTGGGCTAACGAAAATCCTAGGGCCAAAATGGAGTCCCATTTTCAACATTCACTTAAGGTAATTGTTCGGGCTGCCACGATGGGGAATCAGTTAATAGGATACCACATTCTAGATGGTAATTTAAAAGGCACCAAGTGTTTAGATTTTTTAAGAAATAGTCTGTTCGAAATTATTGAAGATGACTATTAGCAAGAAATAATTATTTCATGCATAATGGCGCTCCACCACATTTTACTCGAGTATGCAGAGAATGGCTTATTGAAAATTTTCCTGAGCGATGGATTGGTCAAGGTGCAGATGCTCCAATTCACTGACCTCCAAGGTCACCAGACCTTTATCTCCTTGATTATGTAATTTGGAGCCATGACAAACAAAAAGTATATATGAAATAGAAATAAATTCAGCAGAACATCTGAGACAAAAGATTGTTGATGTTTTCAACCATCTAAAAGACGATTTAGAACCTTTGAAAAATACATTGTTTTCATTACAAAAAATAATTCGTTTTTATATTCGTGACAATGGAGGAAATTCCGAACATTTATTCTGTTTTTATTTTCCTTAAATTTTAATTTTCTGTTAGTAATAATTAGTTATTCTTGTTATTTTTCTTTTTTTCAATAATTGTATTCAGTATGTGTTAAACTTTTCCAGAAATAAACTAATTATTACTTTTTATCATTACCATTAAAAGAATAACTTTGATTTTGAGTTTCATTAATGAAACTAATAGTAATAGTAACTAGGTACCAAAGCCTACTTGAAATAAAAACAATTTTTTGTTAGTAATAATTAGTTATTCTTGTTATTTTTCTTTTTTTCAATAATTCTATTCAGTATGTGTTAAACTTTTCCAGAAATAAACTAATTATTACTTTTTATGATTACCATTAAAAGAATAACTTTGATTTTGTGTTTTATTAATGAAACTAATAGTAATAGTAACAAGAACACCTTTTTTGTTTAGAATAAAACTTGCCACAACAGTAAGTGACAAAACGGGCAAAAAGATTAACCTCAAAAAAATTAGGACCTAAAATGTTCCCGCGGAGTATTGCACTGAACGCCCTGTATGATATAGCCAAATATTAATAACTCCAGAGCATTTAGCATCCCCTGAAACCCCACATAACAAAATTTCGGTCCATTCGGTAGAATTTTGTGGAAGATAGGACCGAAACTAGGTTCTAAAAAATTATTTTCAACGCACTGTATCTTGAAAACAGAAAAAGATACGCTCATGGTTCAAAGGTATAAATTGTAATAATTTTTGAAATTCTATCAGGCCCTGAATTTATGCTAGTGTTTTTCAGAACACCCTGTATATTGCTCTTACGACATGAAACAAGAGAACCTCTTTGAAATACTTCTTAACAATCTTTAATATCTACTAAGACGTTAAATTTTTGTTAAAAACTATGCATAAAAATGTTATGATCAATCATCATTAAAGACTATTCAAGAATTTTATTAGTAATAAGTTTACCAAATTAAAAAAAAATCGCTAAATTTAGAAAAGTTATGGCAAAGCATTAATTACAGCTTTGAGGATATGCAATTCTGTTAATCCCTAAAAAGTACAAAAAGAACACAAATCATCAGCGAAAAAAAGGATGTGTGACCATATACCTACTGTAATTTACATCATCAATAAACAAAATAAAAAGCCAAGGATCTAGTTTATAACCTTGAGTAATTCAATATGTGGTTAGGTATTTAAAAGATTGGCATCCATTATAATATAGGTACATACTGGAGTCTTCCAAGTAAGAAAATTTATTAATTCTGAAACCGATGCAAGTTTTTCAAACGAAATAAAATCACCAATACGATCAAATACTATAATCACCTGACCTCGATTGTCTAATGTGAAACGTCCAGAAAAAGTAAATCGAGGAAATAAGGACTCGTCAAACCTACTAATATTCAAACGTTCCTAAAATTAAACTTTATTTTTGTTTCAATTTACATTGATAACATTGATGATATATTTCTATTTCACTCACTCCAGATCGCCCTGTACAAAGATCGTTTCCTCGATTTCTAATTTCGTTACATCAGTGTTCCTCCTCTCATGCGTTTAGAAATAAGCTCTCTGCTCTGGTCCATTATGCCGCATGCTGCGCGCTGCAGGCACCCTCCATATGGCGAACACTTAACAATCAGAGAGAAGAAGATGGCAGGGCAGAAGAGAGACAACGAAGAATTACATTGTACTGTTTGTTGTTGGGGACATGGGCGTAGACAGGAAAGGGACAGGGAAGATGAGGAAATTGGAATGTCGTCTTCCTCAAATTTAATTGTCTGAATTTGACTCGATCAATAATGACTTATGAAAAAGAAGGAACGAAATTGTTAACGATTAGAATTTGTTTTAGAAAACTATGCAATAAAATGAGAAAATCCAGGATATCTTGTTACCTGATTAGAATAATTTTTTTGTTGGATTTTGGGAAACTAGCCTATTAGTGAAAATACATTGTAAACATTTTTTGCTATTTATTAAAATCGAACTGGAAAAATACAATGATCGAAAATTAACTTTAAATATTTATATGTGCATACATATACGTAAATTTCCATGTTTCAATTATTTTAACAGAAAAAATTATATGTATATGATTTATTTCTCTTCCAAAATTTGAATTTGTGTTATCACCGAAAATTTATCATTATTAATACATTATTGTTTTTCTATGTGGATCATTTATTAAAAAAAGCATATATAGCCTATTTTATTATTTAGAATTAGCAATTTACTTTTACCTTACTTTTCTTGATTTACTTAATGTATTTTTTGTTAAAATCGTTACTGTAATATTTTGAAGAAGAATATACACTTTTGATTTTAATTTAACTCAAAATTAGGGTTCCAAAGTTGCATGTCTGTTATATAGATGTCAAAAATGTGATAACTTTGATCGAAAATTCTTGAAACAGCTGATAATTATCAACAAGAATTTATAAATTAGTAGTACCCAAATAACACTATTTTACCAGTACTTATAGATTTGAAAGAAAACTGTTTCATTTTTATCCATGTTAATTTCAGTTTTGATAACGAAAACGGAGAGTTTTTCGAAACGTTTATTGTGTGTTATAGTGATTAATATGTAGTTGTTGGGTTTCTCAGTGTGAAATATTTCTGGTTAAGCAAAATTAAAATTATAAAATCAACCCATTAACTGATCTTTTTCGCACAAGGAGTTATCTGTTTAATTTTTTGTTCTTTCAGTGTAGAAGAACTAAATAAAAGGAGTGACTGAAAATGACACAAATAAACAATAAACAGAAAGGTTGAGCCATTTAATTTTGTTTCCTTTATTGAATTTCAATGTATTGTACGCAAAGAAAATTATCACCAAAGTAATGCATTATGATTTAGCTTCTTAATGGACTGGGGTAAAACTCAGGCATATCACAATAATGTAAGTAACATATATAACTGACGCAGAGAGTCAGTTATGTGTATAACAAAAATATAATTGTCTCAAAATCATAAAATAAAAAAGGCCTAAAAAGGTAATAGTGTTAAAAGAATAGCAAAAACGGAATTAATACAATTTCAAAATCAAAAATTGTAAACTCAAAATTAGGGTCATACTGCATACTATTTAATCTATAAATGATGAACCAAATATATTAATTCTGATAACAAAAACTTAAAATTTTTTGGAAAATTGATCATTTTTATCAATATAGATATCGTATACAGGTTCGGAAAGTCCCCATGGTATATCGGCCGTTACGTGAGAGCGATAAAGTAAGTCATAGAAAGCCGTGCGATAGATAAGGATGGTTACATTGAAGACGTTTCATAATCTGAATAGTCACTCCCACTTCTAACCCGAAACGGGCGGTGACTATTCAGATTATGAAACGTCTTCACTATAGCCATCCTTGTCTATCGCACGGATTTCTTTACTTTACTTTGTCGTTCTCTTGTAAAGGCAGATGGACCATGTGGATTTTCCAGCCCTGTGTATTTTATAAGTACTTACACAGAGTGTTTATAAACTTGGGGAGGATTCTTTAAAGTTATAATGCATTAATAATAAGTATTTTCAGTATTCAATATCATTGAAACTGCAAAATTAATAATAACTAAAATTGTTAAAATTTATTGAGAACTTCTGAAATCGCTCCCGAGTTACATACTTCATAAAAACTAGGTGAAAATTTGCGGTCGTATATCGCATGTCGTTCAGTTCTTCTTTAGTTTTCATTACCAAGTAAAACTATTTATTGTCTTCATCTTATTTTTACTGTGTTTGTGGTATAAGTGCGAATAAACATGCTAACACTGATGACAACTGCAAATTTTTATGTACAACGATGTCGCAAGACTTGTAAACAGTCGGTGAAGTCAGCGGTTCTAAAAAAGTTTTTATTGCATCAGTGTGGCAACTCAGTAGATATTTAAAAACAAATATTCTATTTGCAAAAATGTTTCTGTCAATCGAGTTTTCACTCTCCGAAATATTTTCCCCACACTCTGTATGATAACTTATTTTACTTATTTTTTTCATGTAACCAATTATTATGCAATACTATTGCTAATAAAATTGTAGGTAATATCTTCTTCGCAACAAATACACCAAGTGGTAAATATATTTCCGCCAGACAAAATAATTGTTCAATTACGCGGATGAACGATTCATTCACCTAGAAGCGATTGCGCGTTGTGTTCCGTTACGTAATATTAATTTCAGTGTACGCTACCCTCGTGCATTTTTTTGTCCACGCCCCTGTGTATATTTCAGGTACTCACCGGCTGTCAGTCCTTTCCTACACAACTTAATTCTGAGCTTGGGTTCAGATCGCATTAGCCGTGCTGGTGAGTGGACGTGCTTCGTTTGTTTCGTTGTTTACTTGTTCACTTTCGTTGTCGAGCTTTTCGGCGAGAGCTTGTGCGCCAACTTGATAAGTTGTGATAAAACTTCGCTTTGACGATTTTGTGGCAGTGGCTTTATTTAAATCCTGTGGGTTTTGGTGGTTTTCTCTAGAGGACGTTCATTTCCTCCGGCTCTCAAAGAACATGTGACAAGGGCCTTACTTCTTTTACTAACCAAGAGTGAGTTGTTTTAAATCAAGCCCTATTAGAAAAGTAGCTCTTCAGTTGGAGTCGCAAAATGTGTGAATAATTGTTTATAAGATAAAAGGAATAAAGAGGGATTGTTTTGTTTCTTATATTAATGGAATTAATAAAATTTTGGAAAATTTTTGAAGTTTTATACAATGTTCCAATTTATCGAAACCGGATCTGAAATTTCAGTAGAGGTTTTTATTTTTGATTAACGGATAAAAAAATTTGCACATTCTTTTTTAAAATCACTGTATTTACTATCAACATGTCTAAATAAAGAAAGAGATACATTTGTTTGTAGTTTTCCTAATACATTATTTTCAGAATGGTAACTTAATCTGAAAATAGGTTGAACTAAACTATTGTTGCGAGATAGTTTCTTTTGTTAAAATTAACATAAAAAATTGTATAAAAAACTACAAAATTCTAACCCCAAAAAAGTTTTGATTAAAATATTCCTGGTTTGTAATCAAACCACGCTTCTCAAACTTTCTTTATAGATACAGGGCGTTAAAGATAACAGAAAACGGTAAATCCTTAGTTTATGGGTAAAATCTCTTTTAATATTCTATATTCTATCAAGTATTACTCCCACAAAGCTTAGCCTGAGAGCAACAAGGTCAGGTCAAAGATTCCTAGCTAAGGCTAAGGGAGTCTGTAACTTACGGTACATATGCCACGACATAACATCCCGAAAAACCGTCGTATGTTAAATTTAAAAAGTTTTATTAATGTGTAAAATTTTATTAATTATTCCCTAGAGGAAAATGTTTTTACGCGAAGCATAAATTAAGCAATTTCTTAATAAAATCTTCCTTATTTAAATAACAAAATGGTGAAGTTCTTCAATGTTTATATTTAAAAATGAATTTCTAAGTTTGTTTTCATACACTCGAAAACAGTATGAAGCTTGAATTAACCTTTAGTCTCTTTAACTGAGAGGAATAATTAAGTAAACAATACAATATATGTATACAGGGTGTCCCAAAAGTGACGCCCGTCCTTATGGGTTTTTATTAGGGGGACAAAAACAAATCGAAAATCAAGAGTGAAAAATTTTCCGATTGTTTTTCTTTGCTGAGTTATTCAAAAAATTATTCAAAAAACTAAAAATAAACATTTGGGCAGGGTTAATAACTATTTATGTAGTTCAAAGCTGTATTTGCTGCAACTGTATGTTTTTAAATGAAAACTTACCATTGCCATTGCTGCATGACATTCCGTTAGCAGTTAGACGAATTATTGGTTTCAATATGATGGAGCTCTATCACATTATGGTTTACGAATATAAAATTATCTGAATCAAAACTTCCGGGACAGATGGATTGGAAGAGGTGGACCATGGCCTCCTGGATCACCAGATCTAAATCCCTTAGATTTTTCTTTTGGGGTTATTTAAAAGATTTATAGTCCGTATAAACGCTACTGTCGCGTTAATAGACCAAGAGATGCTACAAAGACTCCATGTTTCAATGTTGAATCGTGATAATCTTTTGTCTTGAAGTAGAAGGCAACTTATTTGAACACCTTTTGTAAAAACAATTTCTATTATTTAAGCACATTATGGTTTTAGTTTGTTTTATTATTAAAATGTTTTTCTCTATCCTTTTCAGGTTAAAATAATTCCTTATACTTACCCAGGTACAAACGACAATGGAAAACTATACTTGTCTAATATAGGTTATAAATTATATGTCTTGGGTCCCATAAGCACAGACCTCAGTTTTGAGACAAACAAAATGGATTTTCACTTTTTTAATTTTTTTATAATTTTTTTGAATAACTCGGCAACGGAAAACAATCTTCCACTCTTGATTTTCAATTCGTTTTTGACTTCTTAATCAAATCCCAGAAGGCGGGCGTCACTTTTGGGACACCCTGTATACGAGAATATATATTGTTCTATAAAATTTGTTTCTAATTTAAAATAATTTAGCTATTGGCGAAAACATTCTTTATTTATTTCCATCGACTTTTGAATTGCTCTAGAAACAAAGCTGTTACATTAAGTAGCTAAAACACTATGCTGCATTACTACGACACAAGTGAACCTAAACGTGTGGTCTGCTAGACTGCTAGCAGACTTCTCTACACACACAGCAGGTGATCACGTGACTAATTTGATTGGTTCAGCCAAGTCAGTTATTGTAAATGCACACCTTTAATCGTATATACTTCAAATATGTATACTAAAAACATAAAAGATTGAGAGTAATACGTTTTAAAACGCAAGAATACAAAAAAATAGCAATAAATCGTAAAAAGAAAATATGAAACCAAATATGTAATTGTAAATGTTCAATTCATTTTCTTATATAAAAGTTATTGCAAATATGTATAAAGTTTATGTAAATTTACACAATTTTTATCAGTGTAGATCCTGGGCATTTGCTCTCAAAAGGAAGCTCCGTAACCACATGTTTGCTTTAACGTGTACATACTTACCGCTCTTACTTATATTACATGAAAACAAACAGGTAATCCATTCAACAAGTAGCCTATACTAAAATACACAAGCATATGCTTTTCCTCGTGGTTGCGATTACCCATTGATATCCTTCCGCAATTGCGCTACATTTTCAAATATGGTTGCCGTGCGTAATTTATATTCCGCAGGGGCGTTGTAACACGATTATCTATTTAGAATGCGACTTAATGATTACAATTACTCACATATAATTTGCATCGTATCAAGGCCTTCATCATCGTAATCTTGAGGTAATTGTTGGGGGTACGGGATCGAAATTTGCAAGTTGTGTGTTTGTTTTCTTAATATTTATTGACAGTTGGAGAGCATTATTACAAAATGCAACAAATATGCATTTACTGGAAACTGTAAAACGAAAAATTCCATTTCCCTAATTTGTGAAAAATATAGGTTTGCGGTTTTACTTTAAAATTGCGGATTTGTTTAGTTTTGCAAACAACATTCATGGGATTTTAATGAACTGAAATACTGTAAAAGAGTGAGAAATATTATAGAAAAAAATGGTTATATAATAATTATAATATGAATAGCGAGTTCTTCCTAATTTAAAACAGACGCACATATCATTTTCTTCTGAATCTAAATATTTACGAGCATATTCCTCAAGGTTTCAACGCAGGTATCAACATAAAATAAAAAACAGGAGTTGTTGCAATTCGAATAATGTCAGAGTGTGTTTAGTTTTGTTCCATAAAAGTCTATGAAGGATTTGCTGCAAAATGTGGATTCAGACCATTAAAAAATATTAATTTATTGACTATTACTGAAAATTGCGTCTTGTGGTATTCAGTTTTTAATTTCTGAACTGAAAAATGATCAGTGTGGATTTGTTGCATTCTGAAATAATGCTATTCACAATCAATTAATTTTTATTGTATTCATAGCTCGAGCAATCAGAGCGACTTAACCTTTCAACGTAGGTACCTCTTATGTTTTCAACAGGTCGCAAATGGTAACTATTAATGGTTACAAATCTCCCCCCTACGTTGCAATGGCAGGTGTTCCTCAGGGATCACATTTGGGACCTTTACTATTTTTAATCTATATCAAAGATATCCGTCATTGTTTCAAATTTTGTAAAATTTTACTCTACGCAGACGATTTGAAAATTTACTCTCAAATAAATAATTCCGATAATTATACTGCCTACCAGGAAGATTTAAACTCTTTCTTTGGATACTGTAAATTGAACACACTTCAATTAAATTTAAGTAAATGTTTCTATATTTGTTTTACCCGTAACCAAAATATATACTCTAATAATTATAACTTTAATAAGAATATTTTAAATCAAGTTGAAGAAATAAAAGATCTTGGGGTTGTCTTTGACAGGAAAATGAGTTTTTCTTCACATATTGATTATATAACTTTAAAAAGCAACAAAATGCTTGGTTTCATTGTCAGATTTTGCAAAAATTTTAGGTCGATTTTTGCTATTAAATCTGTATATTTTGCATACGTGCACAGCATAATCATTTTGTATCTATTATATGTAGTCCTCAACATACATATAAGTCTCGACTTGAGGCCATACAGAACAGATTTATGCGATATTTACACTACGAGGAGAGTGGTGTGTATTCTTTTCATTGTAGCACGATGTTACGAAATCATTATCATATTATTTTATTGGAGAATCGAATAATTATTGCCGAAGCAGTATTTTTGTATAAGCTTCTTAATGATTTTATCGATTCCCCAGATTTATTAGCCTTGATCTGTTTACATGTACCACAACATGATTTTAGAGTAAACTGTTTCATGAGACTTTTTATCGAACTAATTCTGGTCAAAACTCTCCTATAAACAGAATATGCAGACATTTTAACTTATACTGTAGTACTCTAGATATTTTTCATTCCTCGCTCATTAGTTTTAAAAGATTTTTAAAGGGAACTATTATTGCAAATTAACATTTTCTATTATAATAATCTTTTATGTACTTTTATATTCAATTAGCTTTAAGTAATTTGGGGACATTGTTTTGGGCTATAAAGCCTGTGTTTGTTCCTTGTCCATAAATAAATAAATAAATAAACGTATCAAACTGAGAGAGGCGTCTTTATTTATTTACAATGTAAGTTGTAAAATAAACAATTTTTGCATAGAATTTGCAACTAAAATAAGTTCAGAAATTTTTCTTCTTTGTTTTTTATTTTAGATTTTTTTTCGGTTTTATTTTAAAAAAACATATTTATGAAGGCAACTCATCTGACTCATGTGTTTTGGTTTTTGCTTCTGGCATAAGGCTGACGTGGCAAAGTCGGTTACGGTTCAGTGGAGATAGGGAATTGGATGAATATATTCTGTGTCTCGGTTGAGAGTAGTCACACACATATCTGTTCATAATTAAATTGTTTACATTGTTGTTAATATATGTTATTAGTGGTATTTTCGATTATTATTAATTCTCCTGAGGACTTTTACCTAACAGTGCAGCGGCGGGATCGTGTTCACTGCTTTTCGAGGAGGCTGTACAAGGTAATACACGAAGTGTATA